TGCTATAAAATAGCCTTCATTGCTCTATAATATTTTAAGATGTATAATAATATTTTAAGGCTATTTTATAGCAGCGCCAAGTTTTTTGCAAAATTTTGTAATATTTTTTTATTTTGATTAAATTTGAAAAATTTTTTTATTTAACTAGATACAGATATAAAAAAAAATAACTAGATACAGATGCAATTATTTTAAAAAGTATACTTAAGAAGAATTAACTAGATATAAACATAAATATCATTTTTAAATAAATAACTAGATATACATGCAACTTTTTTTGAAAGGTTCTTTATTTAAACTTGGCGTCATTTTCTGATATCACCTCTTTTATAGGCAGAATATGTAGCTAATTTTTATTTGGTATATACAACTTTTTTTAAAAGTACAATTTTTTTGGAAGGTTTTTTATAATAAATATATATAATTTTTTTAAAAAGATTTTTTTATAATATATTTTTGGAAATACAATCTTTTGGAAGTTTTTATAATATATACAACTTTTTTTGGAATCACATAGACAAGAGTGCGTCATTAGAAAATTACATAATAGCTTGATAGATATGCCAATCATAATAGCATGATCTCATACGGATTTTAGAACCGATGTAACCTGCACGCTGCACGATATCTCATTTATTGTCATCCTTGGTCCTGTTGGATTTGTAATATGCAAATTCGATCTAACGTCGATGTTGCATTTTTGCAGTGTCGACCCAACTGTGCAACACAATCACGGATGAGCTCACGCGAACTGCGGATAATGTCGTGCAGCTATACAAACGTTTGACGATAGATAATGATGATGATCCCTCTAAAGGAGCAATTGACAGAGATACAATGCTACGAGGACTAGAATCGTCTGTCAACGAGACCATGCGAACTCTACGATTGGTCGTCGCTGGCGGTGAAAGTCACAATGACGGTAGCGGCGAGAGCGTTGTTACCAACGAGGCGACGGCCAAGTTTCAAGAGTTACTCGCTGGTCAGGATCAGGGTAAAGTGGTCAACATGATGCAGCAGTATTCCGAGCTGCTACTTACCATGATGCAACAGAGAATAGGAGGGACTCAGCCAAGCCACACGTAAAATCCGTCCATCTGAGAATCGATAAGAGCAACATGATTGCTGTCGCATTTAACGCAATGGCAAATAACATATTGCAGCCTCCTTTGAAACCGTAATCTTAACAGTCCTCCAAACGGTCCTCTACAGTTTCAACAAAAGGATTTGAATGTGTCAAGGAATATATACTCGCTGCGGAAACTCCGCACGCATATCATAGCTGCGTAGAAATTCTCTTTAGCCAATGATGGGTTGTATCCACTTCTCCGCCAATTAAATCGCTCGTAAATTTAATGAGATGATAAATATTGCTTAACGCAATTTGATGCAAGGATTAATGCCAATATAATTTCAGTATGTTTTATTTCTAATACTAAAAAGACTCTTGCGTTATTCGTAGAGATGAATTACGCTATTCTATAGCGATGAAATTCGCGAGCTCGATGAAGCAATACCAGTTTTAATCCTTGTGCCTAATAGCACAAAATCCATAGTCATCGTTTTTATGTCATACGATAGATGAAATGTGCATTTTATGTTATTGTTTGAAACACTATTATAGAGTTACTGGAATTGATCTATCCGTGGAATTGGTGAACAACTTGGATAAATCGCGATACAGTTTTGAATAAATACGAAGCACATAACATGAATTATTTCATAATTAATCGTAAACATAGAATCGATCGTAACGGACTTACCCATTGTATTTTAAGGCCATACGCCATGAAATGCCAATTAACTAAACACTAGTGAAATGGTTTTCAAGTAAAGTCGACGTTGACGACATCGACATATTAAGCGTCAATATATTATTGTAATTTAATATTAATATTCTTGTTATGTAACCAAAGGTTGTCTGTACCAATGGTCTAAGAAACAAGTCCCTTCACGATTCAAACTTTTACAAAAAATTACAATAAAAAGTATGCAACATAACTTGCCAGTAAATAAAAGCATCTAACTATAGTCGTTGCATTAAGTACGAATAAAATAGTTTTCTCGAGTCCATCAACAATAGAGATTGCCAACAAGTCATTTTATATTTCATCACTGAATTATATTTTAATGGGATTTGATATTTTCAAGTGTAAATTAACTCAAATTATGTTGTTTTACTTAGGATTATTAGATTTATTGACTGTGCAAATTGTACACTTTTAATAGAAAAAAAAAATGTTCGAAATTTTTTTTTTTTTTTTAGTAATAGACTACAATTGAATGAAAGTTAAAGTTCATACTTCTGCAGTCATAACAAAATTACCTTACAAGAACTGCACGAGATATAAGCTAATGTTTGTTAAGCTAATCTTTCATATGAACATATATTATTACAAAAAGAGCTGCTCCAATTTCATAAAATTATCGGTTTTAATCAAATAGTTCTGGTTAATTGACAAGTAACTATTTCAACAAATTTTGCAAAAAGAAATATTATGGATGTATTGGATACTCAAAGTATGAAAAATATGTATTACTAATACACTGTAATTCTTTCTTCATATCTTTTATTTTAATATAGTGTCGTTCCCTGTAAAATTTTATATTTAATGCATAATGAGTGCCATTTAGATTAAAGTGATCATATACTTAATAGTACTTATTGTGCTTATGCGTTAATTTATATCGCTTGCAAGAATTCATGTCGATTACCTTGGTTCGTTAATATTTTTAACATAATTGGATATTTAAATAAAAAATAATTGGTCCCTACGCACGAAACTCGCTGGACACATGATGAGTGACATGTTCATCATTTTGCTCTGTACAATACGATTGCAATTACTATAATTTTTTTCTTACTCATATATTACATTATTTGTAACCGAAGAAAGCGATATGAGAGTTTCCGATGGAGTTATTTAATTCTCCTATGATATACTACATGATAAATAATATACTAGAAGTTAGAATATTTTGTATTTAGTATCAACATTTTTTAACGTAAATAATCAGCACAAAAATACATGAATGAACGACGTAAAGAATAGGAATCTCATTATATATATATAGTTAAGATTAACAAGCTTGATAAAAAAAATCATTCCAAATTATCACTCTCTTATTGTCCTAAGTATTAAACGCGTATATAGTTTCAGATTGTCGATACTTATAATGACTTTGAGTATATTATGATATATTTGTTACAGTAGGCTATAATTATTGTTATCAATATAATAATTATTCTCGTTTTATATAATGTGTAAATATTTATTTAAAGTTTGCGTATAATTTGATAACATATATATATACAGGGTGTCTGATAATTGTTGAATCACTTCTCGGGTGCAGATAGAGTAGGTTAAACCGAGTAGAAAAGTTCTCTACTATTTTGCGATTTTCGCAATAATTAATGAGGAATTAATTTTAAAATCGGCTAATTCACGCGAGTTTAAGAGCGCGGCGAGAAGAGACCCGTGACAGTATGAGGTAGACCCGGTACAGCCTACCGTTATTTGGCTACTAGGCGTGCGATGAAGTGTTGGAAGGAGCGCTCTACAAATGACAACGACAAAATACGAGCGTTGCGTAACGTTAGATCCTTGCGTCCTAGCGACCACGTGACAGTGGGCTGTCTCACTGTCTCTTCTCGCCGCGTGCTTAAACTCGAGCAAATTGGCCGATCTTCTTTAATTAATTTCTCATTAATTATTGCGAAAATCGCAAAACAATAGAGAACTTTTCTACTCGGTTTAATCCGCTCTACCTGCACCCGAGAGGTGATTCAGCAATTACCGAACACCCTGTATATATACAGGGTGTCTGGCAATAATCGCCCCACCGGTTATATACAGGGTAAAGGAGGTTAAACCGAGTAGAAAAGTCCTTACCATTTTTTATTTCGTAATAAGTACTGAGTAATTAACGAA